CTATGAACCTGTTTCCACCTTGTAAATTGTGGGTATTAGGCCCACTCCAAGGTCCCTTCCAAGCTTCCCTCAAGCATGTTGTGAAATATACACTAAATTAAATGCCCACGGCCAGGGGTGGTGGCTCACAACTGTAATCCCAGCACTTTCAGAGGGTGAAGTAGGTGAATCACCTGAGATCAGGAGTTCAAGACCAACCTGGCCAACATGGTGAAACCCCATCTCTACTAAAAATACAAAAATTAGCTGGGCATGGTGGCACCTGTAATCCCAGCTACACGGGAGGCTGAGGCAGGAGAATCTCTTGAATCCAGGAGGTGGAGGTTGTAGTGAGCCGAAATCATGCCACTGCACTCCAGCCTGGGTGACAGAATGAGACACCATCTCAGGTAAATAAATAAAATACATAAATAAATAACAGGTTTGTGCCTGGCAGCCTTAGCTCAGGATCAAGGTAGAACTAAACATATCTGCTCACCAACCTAGAGGTCATAATATCACAAGGGCCCCGATGCTCCTGGAACTTTTCCAGATATCTAGAGTTCTTGTTCTCAGGGACAAGATGAGCATAAAGAAGAATGCCAACTCAGTGCAGGGATCACCTCCCTCCACTTCAAGGTACCCCTGCTCCAAGATCAAGGGTCAGGAAGGATGAAAACAATATCCACTGAGTACTTATTGCATGCCAGATGTTTTCATAGATTATCTAGCTCACAACCCTAGATGGTAAGAGTAATCCTAATAGTAGTAGAACATAGTGTGTATTGAGTGCTTCCTATCTGCCAGGCACTGCTAAAACCAGCAAACCTTCAGGCAGCATCCATCATGCACCAGGCATGATTCTAAGCATTTACAGTGCATGAGGTCGAGAGTATGAATACCTATTTTTGGATGGGGAAACTGAAGCACTCAGCAGGTAAAGGAGAAAACCAGAATCAGACCCAGGCCCTCTGCCAACTTAACCACTTTACTTCACAGCCGCTAATTACCTTGAAACCCTGCTGCAAGGTATTACTTATTCTGTCTTGCAGATGAGGAAACTGAGGTTCAGGAAAGTAAAATAATTCAGCAAAGGCCTCACCTAGGCAAAGTGGAGCAGTGTCTGCATAGACCACCTGTCAGCATCCCTCCTAGCAAGTCCTAACTGCTACAAACACAGGGCTTCATGCTCTAAGATTTCAGGGAGCTGGCATGGCTAAGAGAGGTTCTCTAGACAGCCACTATGCTCTGGCAGCTTCCTGCCAACAGCGGGCTCTGTCAGGGAAGGAACTTGGCCTTTTTCATGAGGCTGGGAACAGAGCTGATGCTAGCTAGATGAGATACAAATAGACATGAAATGGCAGCAGATTCTAAAGAACAAATGAATGAATGAGGTAGGAAGGAAGGAAGAGAGAAAGGAAGCAAATTCTTGTTGGGTCTGAGGCAGCAGGGCCCTTCTCAAGGGTACAGCCAGGCCGGGGGCTAACAAGAAAGTGAGACCTGCAGTAAGCTGCCCCTTGTCCCCATCCAGGCTATGCTGGGGCCAGCAAGCCAAACTCCATCTGAACCCAGGACAAAGCAGGAGCTGAGCTGCCCGATCTGGGGAAGGCAGGCACATTGGTCCTCTCTGTGAAAAACTGGTCAGGTTAGTGGACAGGAAAACCCTGACCTCCCAGTGCCTAGGAAATTCAGTGGCAGGGGGCCTGGCCCCGGCCATAGCCTCATGGGAACCTGAGTGTCCAGTTAGATCCCGAGTCTTGAGTTGAATGTGTCAGTGGATCTAGCACAAGGTTTAGAATCACTTTACATGAAACACAGCGTCCTGACCCTCCTTTCCAACTGTGAGACTGTGGTGTATGCACTGAAGCCCAGGGGACTCCAAGAAAGGGGCACACAGCCTCTCTGTGCCAACAAATGCTGCTTTAACTAATTTCATCAAGTGGTAATTTCACATATCCAACCCTGGCCCATGTGTGCGCAGAGCACCGAACTTAAGCCATTGCAGTCGTCATTGCAGTAATTCATTCAGCCACTCCATCTATTGCATTCCAGTCCTCAGAGATGCTACAGTAAGCAAGCCACCTGCCCCTAGAGGAACATCTTATGGTCCAGCAGGCCCATACGGCAAGTAAACAGGAAATGGCACAACTGGGTGATAAATGCAGTGAGAAGGAAAAGAGAGGGTGCTATGAAAGCTTACAGAGAGGGCCCCTAACCAACATCAGGGACCCTATAGTCACCCTGGTGTTTTAAGCAGGCACCAAATGCCAAGTACAAATGAGCCATTGGGGGAAAAAGAGCAGAGATATTATTCCTAATCTACAAGAGAGTAGAGTCTGATATTGGATGTTTTTTTAGTACGATATTCTTTTTTCTTGGGATCTTAAAAATTATTAAATTTTTTTTTTTTTTTTTTTTTTTTTTTTTTGAGACGGAGTCTCGCTCTGCCGCCCAGGCTGGAGTGCAGTGGCCAGATCTCGGCTCACTGCAAGCTCCACATCCCGGGTTCACGCCATTCTCCTGCCTCAGCCTCCCGAGTATCTGGGACTACAGGCGCCCGCCACCTCGCCCGGCTAGTTTTTTGTATTTTTTAGTAGAGACGGGGTTTCACCGTGTCAGCCAGGATGGTCTCGATCTCCTGACCTCATGATCCACCCGTCTCGGCCTCCCAAAGTGCTGGGATTACAGGCTTGAGCCACCGCGCCCGGCCAAAAATTATTAAATATTTTTAAAACATTTAAATAGCATAATATGAGAGATACTCATGTAATTACTACCCAGTCTTAGCAGTTTCAGATATTTTGTATATAAGTACATAGATGGGTATTTTTTTGACACAGAATCTCACTCTGTCACCCAGGCTGGAGTGCAATACCATGATCTTGGCTCACTGTAACCTTCACCTCCCAGGCTAAAGCAATTCTTCTGCCTCAGCCTCCTCAGTGAGTAGCTGGGATTACAAGTATATGCCACTATGCCTGGCTAATTTTTGTATTTTTAGTAGAGATGGGTTTTTACCATGTTGGCCAGGCTGGTTTCAAACTCCTGACCTCAGGTGATCTGCCTGCCTGGACCTCCCCCCGCAACCTCAACCCTTTCTTGCTCCTGCTCTGCCATGTGAGATGCCAGCTCCCCCTTGGCCTTCGCCATGACTGAAAGTGTTGTTAGGTCTCCCCTGAAGCCAGCAGATGCCAGTGCCATGCTTGTACAGCCTGCAGAACTATGAGCCCATTAAACCTCTTTTCTTTATAAATGACCCAGTCTCAGGTATTTCTTTACAGCAATGCAAGAATGGCCTATTACTGTACTTTTTGTGAGTCAGTTTAAAAATGAGTGTAAGCTAATAAATAAATATGCATAGCTTCAACTAAATGATTTTTATGGACTGTAGCAGAGGACCTGGCTTGTGTTTTCTTAATGGTTTCATGTCTCATGCCAAGGCCATGATATGCAAAGAAACATCTGAAAAAGAGTTGATGTTTATTGCCAAGGAAATACTTAAACTGACTGTAATGAAGATGTTAAAGAGCTTCAGAGAAGCTGTAGACTATTTCCCTGGGCTGACCACAGACACACTTTAAAGCAAAGGCCATCTGATCATTGGACTTAGGGTGATTTTTAAAACACTTTCTGTTTTTATCCAAGTTTTTATTCAATTCCCTTGACTTAATTCAGTTTAGAATTTGACTTCTTATTATCCTCATAGTAATCCTGAAAAAATTACTAAGAATAAAAAATATCGTAACTACTAACATGACTAAGTCCACAGGATATTAGAACTGAAAAGATATCATATAGCTATACCTCTTTATTTACAGGTGATGAAACTGAAGTCTGAGAGGTTGATTATTCACTCATCCATCCAACAAATATTTATTGAATTTCTACTCTGATGTCATTTAGATCCTTACTATGGCAGTAAACATTTTAGTGTCTCTATCAACAGCTTTAAGAGTAAAACTTTAGACATTACCAGCTTGCCCAAGGTTGCACAGCCATTAAATAGAGGAAACAAGGTTAAGACCCAGGGAGTCTGGCTCCAGTAATACTTCCTGTCTTGCCATGGGATACACCTATGGTTCTTGAGTCCAAAATGCAGAAATATGAATCTTACAGGAGAATGAGGCCCTACCATTTACAGAATGTGATGTCTTCCTTTACAGATGAAATTTAGTTCTTCTGGTGAAGAGGACAATGGCTGGGTAGGAACTTAATGCCCACACCTAATGGAAACTTATCCTTGACCTGCATGACTGCTGGCCCAAGACAAAGATTACTTGGAGCAGCTCACCATAGAATCAGCTCCAAGATAAGGGGAAGTACTTGGACTCCATAGTGAACAAAACAGAGATGGTCCCTGCCCTCATGGGGCCCACAATTTAGTGGGGAAGACAGGCAATGTACAAGTGACTTCTCAAATGTTTTATGATTTGTCTTGAATTTTTAAAGTTAAACCTTCTCCAGTTTTAAAATAGCATGGAAGCAAAAAACAAAATGGATTGGGGCAGATCACAAAATTGTAACTCTTCTCTAAGGACCAGTATGACAGCCTAGGAATGAGACCTTGCATCTTTTCTGGAGGTCAGTTCTGACAGCATCCTTTGATTGAGGAGGGATTTGGAACCTTTGGCCTGTCATGCCCTTGATGGTTCTTAAATAGCCACATCCAGTTGGCTTTTTGTGGAATAACATGTTCAGAGACATAACCACCACCCACTTTCAGTAGAAAGAGCAAAACCACTAACATGTATAATGAATAGCAGCTCTTGGTCTAGGAAACTCACTAAGTCCTGGAATTCAGGAACCACAGAGGAACCCCTGAAGCCTTTCAGGCAATCTGGATTGACACCAGACATCTGTGACTCTATCAAAGCTTTGTACAGAATTCAAGGCATGGACATAAAAGTACTTTAAGTTATAAGACATTAGAAGCATAAGACATGGGATTTCATGAATATTATTTAGCCATACAGACATTTTAAGATAATCAATGTTAGTCCTAGCTGCAAATATGTTCCCTATTTTTTTTTTTTTTTTTTTTTAGCATTCCACAAAATTCTCATTCTTTTAATTATCTCCCTTTGCTGCTAGGACCTCTTTAAGGCTTTCATCTGGTTCACGCTAGGCTGGGAAGAAAAGATATAGGAAGTTCTTGGCCTGACCCTGGCCTTTTCTCCTTTATCCTTTGCTATTTCCTGTCTCCTGTTTCTCTACAGAAGTAAATTATGTTGACATATCCTCAAAGAGTAGGGGCCGTACTATTGAAGAAATATAGAAACAAGGGACAGCTGAGACAGATGCACATAAAGAGGAATATGACCCACTTTATATTTATGTATTTATTATGTTGTTAAACAAAGAATGCTTTATTAATACAAATACACACAAACTCTAAAGCACTAAGAAATTTAAATATCTATGTCATAGCAAACAATTGGCAATTCAACATCCAGGGTCAACAGAATGCTAGAAGGAGATTGCAACAGATTGCATTCCCATGGTGGAGAGGGCATCTTCACAGGTGCAGGGGGGCCCAGCTGAAACAGCTTTTCAAGCTCTCCCTCCTCATCAAGGATCATGAGAGGCACTCCACTCAAGGGGAGGTGTGCAATCTGGCGCTCTTCAGGCAGGTCAAAACTCTCAAAGTCTAGAGGATTGAAGGGAAATAATTTTTCTATTTCTGGATAGGCATCATTTGAGGCAGGAATAGCTTTTTTTTTAAACAGTCTTCTCAGTCATCTTTCTGACAGAAAAGCTTGGCTGTTTTTGTTTACTGGGTCCATTGGTCTTTACTGACTTTTCTGTAGCTCTCTTGACAGTTCCCAAAGCCTTTCCGGTAGCTTTAGGTAAGGCTGATGGAGCAGTGAACGTTTTGCCAAAACGTGGTGTTAAACTTGAGATATCCCATCTAAGGCTTTGATTGAAGGTCCAGACCCCAGCTTCAGTCCATCCTTAGCAGTCACACGGGTGCCTGGTTCTCCATTTTCCTTATCAACATAGATCAGAGTAGCCATCCTGGATTATTGCTATTCTCAACAGCCACATTCATCTAAGACTGTGGTCCCACTTTATATTTAGATAGAATGTTAACTATAGTGGAAATTGGTGTAATATCTAATTTTTGTGCCTAGCACATCATCTAGGAGTCAGCACAAACTCATACAAAGAGCACAGGCCTGAGGTCAGACAAACCTGGGTAGGAATCTCGGGAGTACCACTTTCTGTTAACTGTAAGATTTGGGCAAGTTAGCTAACATACAAGCCCTATTTCCACATCCATAAAATGGAGGTAAAACCCAACGCTTATACATTGTGAAATGATCAAAAACCACTTAGGTAAAGTGCAGAACAACCAATAAATAAATAGTTTCTGCCTTTACTGCATTTTCTAATTTATAATGTACTTTTACATACACGATTTCACTTCTTACAAAACTTTAATAAATGCAAGTCTCTCATTTTTCACTAAAGCAGCACCCCCAAAGTTTCTCTGAACTGCAAAATGCCCAAATGTTTCATCCTGATTTATCCCTTTTGCCAACTCTCATCTACTGGTGGCAGACAATCCAGCACGCAGTGGTGGGAAGAGCCGAGAGGCCCTGTCTGAACAATGTGACTACTAATGGTGACTGCTTGGGCAGGAATACTGGACTATGGCAATGACTATGTACCTTGGCCAACCCAACCCCAATCTAGTCCAGGCTATTGATTCACAGCAGCAAATGGTCACTTCTGTTTCTAAGGCCTAGAGATAAGTTGAAGGCAGTTTTGCAGTGAGCCATTTCAATTCAATGATAAATATTCTTGCTGTCTAATTTATTCTATGAATCTTTGACCCACGGCCATGTGTGTGTATGTATTTGAGCCCACATGCAAAAATATACAGTTGAGTCTTGAACAATACAGGATTGAGTTGCATGGATCCGCTTGTTCTCAGATTTTCTTCTGCAGCTGCCACCTCTGAGACTGCAAGACCATCCCCTCCTCTTCCCCCTCCTCCTCAGCCTACTCAGTGTGAAGACAATGAGGGTAAAGACCTTTATGATTATCTATTTCTACTTAATGAATAATGAAATATGTTCTCTTCCTTATGATTTTTCTTAATAACATTTTCTTTTGTCCAGCTTACTTTATTGTGAGAATACAGGATATAGTGCATATAACATACAAAACATGTGTTAGTCAACGGTGTTACTGGTGAGGTCAACAGAAGACTATTGGTTAAGCTTTTTGGGAGTCAAAGGTTACAGGTGGATTTTGGACTGTGCAGGTGATTGGCACCCCTAGCCCTCACATTGTTCAAGGGTCAGCTGCACCTATTTATTTGCATAAGGCCACCTCAAAAAGAAAGGGCCATTCAAAGGTATCATTAGAAGTCTTGCTCTTAACCTGAGACAGCTAGCTAGAAAGTGACAGAGTCATGACTTGCACCTGATATATCAAATGATTGATGTAACCTCTATATGGAGCTTGTAAACTCAAGTGCCACCCAGAGTGAGTCAGGGAATGTAAATATATGATGTACCAGTAGAAGGTAATGGGGAACAGGGAGACTGGTGGGTTAGAGTGTGTGTGCCAATCAGCAGGCATTCCAATTGAATTGTTTTTCTTCAAACACTACGGTAGGCAACTTTAAAAAAAAAATTGCAGGCCACCTGTCTGCAATCCTGTCTCATTATATCATTAGAAGGAATTATTGTTAAGCAACTTCTTTCAACTGTTCTGACACATTCATTTTTTATTAATAGCCTTCTAATTGTTCTTTGAATTGGGGCAGAAATAATTAAAGTAAAAGATGTTGTATATGTGTCCTAAAGAAGGGACAAATAAAGACCAGTGAGGTCTAGAGGTGTGAAAGCACATCTAATCCAGGAACACTTTCTGAAGGAGGTGGCATCTGAGCTAGGAAGAAGTAAGAGGAAATCTCCCCAGGCAAACGAAACAACGACAAGCAAAACAGAGGAAAGCATGGCTATGAGGTAAAATCAACTGTCCCATTTTGCTGGAAAATAGAGTACAGCATCTTGGAACTAGAAAAAAAAGCATGAAGAATCATCTGAGACCAGATATGGTCAAGGTTCTTGACTGCCAAGCTAAGGAATCTGGTGTTTATTGGTTAGAGATGAAAATGGCCTGCTCAGAGAATGGGTTTTCTAGATGAATCTGCTTTGTTGATCTTACAGACTCTTTCTTAACATGAAGCATACTTTTTTCCTAGACAACTTCAAATCTGAAAAATCTGTTACTATTCTTAGCATATGTTTTTGAAAGTAAACTTGGTCACCATAAATGTATATGAGAAAGGGGGCATAAAAACTGGCAGCAAATCCAGTAACTGTAGCCATCTGTGTTTCTGTTGTTCTAAGTGGAGATCAGCAAAACTAGCATTTTAAAAAACACATAAGTATAGTTGAAGTAATATTTTCCGGTGAAGCTTTCCACAAGTGGCTGCTGATAATTTTATCTGGTATTTTAAAATAAAATACACTACCTACAGGACACCATGAAAAACTATCATCTGTTGCATTATAAATGGAAGGATAAAAGGAAGGAAAGACAGAAGGGAGGGAGGAAAATGATACGTAGTTTGTCAGGAAATGTACATCAAATGTCAGAATCAACCTTTTAAAAAGTAATAATGAACAATAAGAAAAACATCAAACAATCTGTTCTGAACTTTTATGAAAAAGTGGCATAGGATAAAAATGGAGTTTGGAGTCAGAAAGACTTTTGAAATCTCAACTCTCTTCTCTTTCTATATTATTTATTCTTTATTATTATTATTATTTTAAGATACAGGACCTTGCTCTGTTGCTGAGGCTGGAGTGCAGTGATATGATCACAGCTCACTGTAGCCTTGAACTCTTAGGCTCAGGCAATCCTCCCGCCTCAGCCTCCTGAGTACATAGGACTACAGGCACGCACCCCCAAGCCCAGGTAATCTTTCTATGCTTTGTAGAGAAGGGTCCTGCTGTGTTGCTCAGACTGGTCTTGAACTCCTGGGCTCAAGAGATCCTCCTGCCTTGGCTTCCCAAAGTGTTAGGATTACAGGCATGAGCCACCGTGCCCAGCAATACATATTCCCGTCAACAGATAAATTCCTTGTCTCTAAAATGTAGTGTTATTTATTACTTCAATGATTGTGAAGAATGAAAACATGTGTAATATCAGGTATCATACATTTGTCTCTTTCCTTCTTTTGGAAAGGAAGGGATATGCCTGCCACATTGTGTAACTGTGGCCATGAGTATTATACAAACTCATCAGGGGCTTATGTTCTCCCATCTCACGCAGGGAGTCTAAATGTTTATGTGGTCACCTTGATCCTTCATGTAAGGGGAGGGGAGTCATGGTGCAGATAATCCCAAAGACCGGATAAAAGTAATCCTTTAAGTTTCAACGTGGCATGCATCAGTGCTTCTTTGGGGGAATTCATTTCTACACTCCCCTCTTTTTTTTTTTTTTTTTTTTTGAGACGGAGTCTTGCTCTGTTGCCCAGGCTGGAGTGCAGTGGTGTGATCTCTGCTCATTGCATCCTCCACCTCCTGGGTTCAAGTGATTCTCCTGCCTCAGCCTCCCAAGTAACTGGGACTACAGGTGTGCTCCATCATATCTGGCTAATTTTTAGTAGAGATGGGGTTTCACTATGTTGACCAGGCTGGTCTTGAACTCCTGACCTCAAGTGATCTGCCCATCTCAGTCTCCCAAGGTGCTGGGATTACAGGTGTGAGCCACTGTGCCCGGCTACATTCCACTTTTCTTAAGTTAATACTGACACTAGTTGGCGTCCCTGAGCATATCACATGAGGTCAAAGGGAAAAGACAAAGAATGGAAGCACAGGGAAAGTCAATTGGTCATTTTAAATGTATTAAAGCACAGTGAGGATAGTCTGCTGGAAGTTTATTCACTTCATATTCAATATGTATTGAGCACCTACTTGGGGCCAGGTACTGTGTAGTCTGTGGTGATACATCTGTGAGCAAAACAAACCAAAACCCCTGCCCTCAGGAAACTTACATCTTAGTGAAGAGAGAGTCAGACAACGAATGAAACACATTTTTAAATAGAATAGTGTATTAGAAGTTCATTAAGCCGGGTGCAGTGGCTCACGCCTATAGTCTCAACACTTTGGGAGGCTGAGGTGGGTGACCGCTTGAAGTCCAGAAGTTGTGAGACCAACCTGGGCAACATAGGGAGACCCCCATCTCTACAAAAAATACAAAAATTAGCCAGTTGTCATTCCAGCTACTCAGAAGGCTGAGGTGGGAAGATGGCTTGAACCTGGGAGTCAGAGGTTGCAGTAAGCCTAGATCACGCCACTGCACTCCAGCCTGAGTGACAGAGACGTTGTTTCAAAAAAAAAAAAAAGTTTATTTAAAACAGATTATATGTATTTTGGGGGAAGATATTTATTTTTTATTTTTTAAATAGAGACAAGGTCTCACTATGTTGCCCAGGCTGGTCTCGAACTCCTGGACTCAAGCGATCCTCCCACCTCAGCCTCCCAAAGTGCTGGGATTACAGGCATGAGACACCACGGCCAGCCCAGACGACATGTATTATAATCTATATACATAATAGAAAAATGAAAAGCGTAAACTTTGAGGTAAAGCTCTCTTAAACACTGCTTATTCTTAGACCACAGGTGCTGATAACAAAAGGCAGAAATTTTTGTAAAAAAGAGTGATGGTGGAAACTGCACATCGTAACGCCCTGTAATTTATATACCGTTGACCCTCTTCATCCATGGGTTCTGCATCTGTGGATTCAACCAACCATGGATTGTAAATATTTGGAAAAAATAAAGGATGGTTGTGTCTGTACTGAACACACACAGACATTTTTTCTTGTAACTATTCCCTGAACAAAACAGTATAACACTATATTTGTAGCATTTACATTGTATTGAGTAGTGTAAGTAATCTAGAGATGATTTAAAGTATATGGGAGGGAGGGGGGCGGAGCAAGATGGCCGAATAGGAATAGCTCCAGTCTCCAACTCCCAGCACGAGCGACACAGAAGACCGGTGATTTCTGCATTTTCAACTGAGCCTCTGCTGCTGATACCCAGGCAAACAGGGTCTGGAATGGACCTCAAGCAATCTCCAATAGACCTACAGCTGAGGGTCCTGACTGTTAGAAGGAAAACTATCAAACAGGAAGGACACCTACACCATAACCCCATCAGTACGTCACCATCATCAAAGACCAGAGGCAGATAAAATCACAAAGATGGGGAAAAAGCAGGGCAGAAAAGCTGGAAATTCAAAAAATAAGAGCGCATCTCCCCCGGCAAAGGAGCGCAGCTCATCGCCAGCAACGGACCAAAGCTGGACGGACAATGACTTTGACGAGATGAGAGAAGAAGGCTTCAGTCCATCAAACTTCTCAGAGCTAAAGGAAGAATTACGTACCCAGCGCAAAGAAACTAAAAATCTTGAAAAAAAAGTGGAAGAATTGATAGCTAGAGTAATTAATGCAGAGAAGGTCATAAACGAAATGAAAGAGATGAAAACCATGACACGAGAAATATGTGACAAATGCACAAGCTTCAGTAACCGACTGATCAACTGGAAGAAAGAGTATCAGCATTGAGGATCAAATAAATGAAATGAAGCGAGAAGAGAAACCAAAAGAAAAAAGAAGAAAAAGAAATGAACAAAGCCTGCAAGAAGTATGGGATTGTGTAAAAAGACCAAATCTACGTCTGATTGGGGTGCCGAAAGTGAGGGGGAAAATGGAACCAAGTTGGAAAACACTCTTCAGGATATCATCCAGGAGAACTTCCCCAACCTAGTAGGGCAGGCCAACATTCAAATCCAGGAAATACAGAGAACGCCACAAGATACTCCTCGAGAAGAGCAACTCCAAGACACATAATTGCCAGATTCACCAAAGTTGAAATGAAGGAAAAAATCTTAAGGGCAGCCAGAGAGAAAGGTCGGGTTACCCACAAAGGAAGCCCATCAGACTAACAGCAGATCTCTCGGCAGAAACTCTACAAGCCAGAAGAGAGTGGGGGCCAATATTCAACATTCTTAAAGAAAAGAATTTCAACCCAGAATTTCATATCCAGCCAAACTAAGTTTCATAAGTGAAGGAGAAATAAAATCCTTTACAGATAAGCAAATGCTTAGAGATTTTGTCACCACTAGACCTGCCTTACAAGAGACCTTGAAGGAAGCACTAAACATGGAAAGGAACAACCGGTACCAGCAATTGCAAAAACATGCCAAAATGTAAAGACCATCGAGGCTAGGAAGAAACTGCATCAACTAACGAGCAAAATAACCAGTTAATATCATAATGGCAGGATCAAGTTCACACATAACAATATTAACCTTAAATGTAAATGGACTAAATGCTCCAATTAAAAGACACAGACTGGCAAACTGGATAAAGAGTCAAGACCCATCAGTCTGCTGTATTCAGGAGACCCATCTCACATGCAGAGACATACATAGGCTCAAAATAAAGGGATGAAGGAAGATTTACCAAGCAAATGGAGAACAAAAAAAAGCAGGGGTTGCAATACTAGTCTCTGATAAAACAGACTTTAAACCATCAAACATCAAAAGAGACAAAGAAGGCCATTACATAATGGTAAAGGGATCAATTCAACAGGAAGAGCTAACTATCCTAAATATATATGCACCCAATACAGGAGCACCCAGATTCATAAAGCAAGTCCTTAGAGACTTACAAAGAGACTTAGACTCCCATACATTAATAATGGGAGACTTCAGCACTCCACTGTCAACATTAGACAGATCAACGAGACAGAAAGTTAACAAGGATATCCAGGAATTGGATATCCTTGTTATCCAATAACAAGGCAAGCATCTCTGCAGCAAGCAGACCTAATAGACATCTATAGAACTCTCCACCCCAAATCAACAGAATATACATTCTTCTCAGCACCACATCGCACTTACTCCAAAATTGATCACATAATTGGAAGTCAAGCACTCCTCAGCAAATGTACAAGAACAGAAATTATAACAAACTGTCTCTCAGACCACAGTGCAATCAAACTAGAACTCAGGACTAAGAAACTCAATCAAAACCGCTCAACTACATGGAAACTGAACAACCTGCTCCTGAATGACTATTGGGTACATAACGAAATGAAGGCAGAAATAAAGATGTTCTTTGAAACCAATGAGAACAAAGATACAATATACCAGAATCTCTGGGACACATTTAAAGCAGTGTGTACAGGGAAATTTATAGCACTAAATGCCCACAAGAGAAAGCAGGAAAGATCTAAAATTGACACTCTAACGACACAATTAAAATAACTAGAGAAGCAAGAGCAAACACATTCGAAAGCTAGCAGAAGGCAAGAAATAACTAAGATCAGAGCAGAACTGAAGGAGATAGAGACACAAAAAACCCTCCAAAAAATCAATGAATCCAGGAGTTGGTTTTTTGAAAAGATCAACAAAATTGACAGACCGCTAGCAAGACTAATAAAGAAGAAAAGAGAGAAGAATCAAATAGACGCAATAAAAAATGATAAAGGGGATATCACCACCAACCCCACAGAAATACAAACTACCGTCAGAGAATACTATAAACACCTCTACGCAAATAAACTGGAAAATCTAGAAGAAATGGATAATTTCCTGGACACTTACACTCTTCTAAGACTAAACCAGGAAGAAGTTGAATCCCTGAATAGACCAATAGCAGGCTCTGAAATTGAGGCAATAATTAATAGCCTACCAACCAAAAAAAGTCCAGGACCAAATGGATTCACAGCTGAATTCTACCAGAGGTACAAG